GTTAACTTGGCCAACAATTGGCTTCAGCTGCTCATTTTTTACAGACTTCTGGGACATGGCCAGTGGCTTAGCCATCTGGTTCTGTCAGTGCTAAGCAACTAGGTTTCCCCCTTAAAGGAGAAAAAATATGGAAATCTCTTGCCTCACAGATATCCAAAACATAAATTAAAGTTACACATTCCTGTACATATTAAATTCACAATATACGGCCTCACTTTATCCTCTTCAGAGTTCCCCAAACTGTTAATCATGACCAAGGCACTCATTTCACTTCTCAAAACACATAGTACTGGGCTCTTAAACAAGGTATTCAGTGAATTTTCACTGTCCTTACCAGTCTCAGGCACCAAGCCTTAGGGAGCACCATTATGACATATTCAAAATGAAATTTTATTATTAAATGAAAGATGGTGTGTTTCAGGCATCAGCTAAACATCAGAGATAAATTGTTATAAAGGGTAGGACTCCATTTTTGATGTTTGGCAGCTGAACACATTAAAAATCCACCCTCTGCCCCACATCTGTGCTAGCTGATAAGAAAGTCCAGACACTCCTTTGTTTGATAGCAATAGAAAGTTCAAACCATGCAACCCTAGGCCGACCTGTAGGAATCCCCACCTCAGACCCTTAATTATGATAAAAGCCAAGCCAGTCTTCTTTCCTCACTTTTAAGCCACCTTCAGACACCCTTGAGGACATTCCCTGCTCCCTGTCCCCAGCCCTCAAAATCCTCATTATGTGAGTAATACACCTTCATACCCTCTCACTGTATACGTGACATTATTAGTCCTGACACCGACAGAAAATTTTCAGTGACATGGCCACAACACACTTTTGCATTCAATTAATACTTCAGCAAACAGTGGGCTCATCAAAACTAGACCTCATGACATGAAACACAGAGAGAATTTTGCAATTTTCACTGTAATTTGAGTTGATTGCAAGTTGGAAATTTTGTAGATTCTCTATTCCAAAGGGTATTATCAACTGAAAACAGAAGTTCAACCTTGCTTTCCTTTCCTGTCTCTCAAGTTAACTATTTGTGTATATACTCTTCATCTGCCAATTCCAGACAGAATTGAAGGAGAGCCCACACCCACTGAGAATCACAATCCTTACTTCTCTGAAACCTGTTTAACTATGTTGCAGCAGAAACATAGCTTACTATATTAGGCTTCATCATGAAATAAACTAATGTGTTTAAAATTGGAGGTATTCTGAGCTGGGCGTCCCGAACATTCCTAAACAGTTCTGAGATTGGAATTTGAATGACTCAGATGTTCAGAAATGAGCTTACTTTTCTTCCAATCTGGCATATCACTTACTGCTGTTTCAAGGGTTTCATTACTATGTTTGCTCAATGTACAGATTTGTTTCTGGATTCAGAATTTTATTTTATGTATCATTTATTAATAAATACACACATATTTATATTTGTATATTGTGATTATATATACGTATAATTTTATACTAAGTTCCCAGATACACTTTCAGTCTTGTGACAACAACTGGGTAAAGATGTGGTTTCTTAGAACCAGATCTAATAGACTTTCCATTTCAGCTGTACTGAAATCTCTTGGGTGAAGCTATAAAAGAGTTTGGAGAAAGGCTACTCATTCCTTTTGAATATATTCAGAAGAAATAAAAAAATTCAAGTTTGAGTATTAAGGGTTTTTACCCTATTTCCACAATTTAAGAAAGTTATTATCTTTAGCCTTTTCTATTTGAACATGTTGATTGCATAGAAACATCTTTTTATGTTAGTTCTTAAAAATGAATAATTAATTAGCTGCATGTATCCTATAAAGATGTCTTATCAAAAAGCTTTATGCTAATTTGCTACTGAGGCAAAGAATGTGTACATAGCATGCTAAAAGGGATTCCAACCCAGGCAGAGATAAGGAGAAAAAACTTCCAAAAACCGGCTACACAAAGGAAGAAGACTGACAGATAACAGGATGCTAACAGACTGTCTTCTTTGGGTGGAAAAGACACATTGAATTTCATTGTTTGGAAGCACTTATATTTTTATCCATGAAATTTTTGTTGAGTACTATCATGTGTGAAGCATTGTGCTAAACACTCTGGATTTAACACAAGATAAAATCTCCACTCTTGAGTTTGGAAAAACATATTAATTAAGACAATTATTATAATATGAACTTATATTCATACAATAGAGCATACATGCAACAGCCTTTAATTCTGATTAATCAGTGCTTAAGGGCTATGAGATGAGTGTGCACAAAAGGGGAGTTTTTATGTTGGATTAAAGAATACACCAAACAAGATCATCTCAACTAATGTTGAAAAGAAACCTATGACAAAATCCAAAACATTTTTATGACAAAAAAAAAAATAACAATGAAAAACTAATAATTAAAGTTAAATTCCTTAACATAAAAATGCCATATGTGAAAAACCCATAAGTAACATCATTCTCAATGGTGAAAATCTAAATGTTCTTCCCCTAAACTTAGTAACAAACTGGTAATCCCACCTTCATCTCTTAAATTCAAAATAGCAGTCGAAGTTATAGCCAGGGCAATTAATCAAGAAATGGAGTCTTCCAAATTTAAAAGAAAGACATAAAATTATCTCTGTTGCTGATGACATAATGTTCTCCCTAGGAAACTCTAAAGAATACATTTTTTTTAATTGTTAAAGCTAATACATAAATTCAGCAACATGACAGGAAACAAAACAGCACACAAAAACTAACCGTATTTATATATAGTATAAATAATCCAAAATGAATTTTTAAAATTTCATTTGTCATAGTTACCAAGAGAATAAAATACTCAGAAATAAATCCAACAAAAGAAGACTTATGCACTGGAAACTACAAAACATTTATGAGAGTAAGAAAAGATGTGCATGGATAGGAAGACAATATCGTTAAAAAATAGAGCAAGATTAGTAAGCGAGGAATTAGGAAGGCAAATTTACACAGATATTAAAGAACCTCTATGTGGCATTCATTAGTTTCAACTATTTTTATAGCAGAAATAAACCATTTAGAATCGTTTTATTTGTTTTAAATCAAGTGAATTACTTGAACAGATTTATGTGTTGCAAATAGAATTCTGACAACTGTATGGACAATGGATTGAAGAGGAGAGAAAGTGGGTGTGAGAGGGCAAAGCCGATGGGGAAAGTGGTAATGAGATGAAAATAAGGCATAGTCAAAAGATACTGAAAAGGAAAGATCTGGAGATCTTGATGGAAAACAGTTTGTGGTTGAGTTAAAAAAAAAAAAAGCGGAATAAAAGATGACTCAGATTTCCAGCTTGGTTGACTAAAAGGGTAGAGCATGACCTTAATGAGAGAATTCTAAACAGAAAACTATTCAGAATTTTGATTATGTAAAATGTGAACATACTGATGTCAAAGATAAAGTATGACATAATACAAGGTTGAAAATAGTAATGATTATTTTCCATTTGTGAATGACTTAGAAGAAATATCCTAAATTTTATAGGAAAAAAAGAGCATATTGGAATGTAATACAAATATTCTTTTGTGCTAACTTTTGCAAACGAATTTCTTTTTCACTGAAATATTTTAGGTCTTATAAATGTAGAAAATGACCAACTAATATCGCTAATTCTGCAGTTTACCCTTTTATACAGAAATAGTAAATAATTTCTCAGAAAGCCAACTAAGATATTTTTCCTCATTAATGTTTTCAAAATGCCATGCTATTCCTCAGAGAATGATACTGTTTCCTCAGAATGAAAATTAGAGTGAACAATAGAAATTTCATAAAATCATGTCCAAAATGATTTTTTAGATAATTTGTCCATTCTTCCCTCAACTCAAATCTACTTCCAGCCTCACTTCTCATTCCCCCACAGCTAAACCTTTTATGGATATAAGAAGTGTATGTCCATATTCTTTATTTCCTTATCTTCCATATATTCCTAATTTTACTTTGCATATCTTATTTCTCTAAGTGAAATGGCTGTCACTAAGTTTAACAGTGCCCAACACATGACTAGATCATCTTTACATGGTCATTCACTTGCACTAACATGCTTAGAAAACCATCTTTCTTGAAATATTCTCTCTCTCTCTTTTTTTTTTTTTTTTGTAGATTAATAAGAGAAAGGTTTGTTTCCAAAAACCATGCACATTGGGGGAAATATTCTCATTTCTTGGTCTCTATTACACTATACATGCCTGTTTTCTTTTATCCCTCTGATAAGTTTTTCTCAATATTTTATGCAGGCATACTCCCCTCTATCCATCCCTTAACTGGCATTTCTCAGGAGTTTACACTAGCTCTGTTTCTTTTCTTACTCTAGTTTCTTCCAGAAAAGCTCGTCATGTCTATGGAGTCAATTTACAAATATAATCCAACAGTTTTCCTTTCACATACCCTCCCCCTTTTATTTCAGACTTCTGAAGTGCAAGGACAGGTAATCAAAGGTTTCCTCAAACTCTCAACATAGATATCCCAAATGCATCTCAAATTAATCATGTCCAAATAATCACACACTCTTGATCACTCCCATCAAACACAGGTCTCTTCTGGTATTCCTATCTTAAGGAAATTATCATTCATCTAAGCACACAAATCACTCTTAGTAACGTTTCTAACACTTACTATTTATTAATTCCTCATAGCCATTTCATAACCAAAGACAGATAATTGTTACTTTCTAAGTGTCTCTACATCTCAGTACTATCAACACCCATATCCAAACCACCAACATGTCCTGAAATGTTGTAAAAGCTTTTTAACTATTCCAATCACAACATTGCCTTCTAAAATCAGAAAAATGTATTGGACAGAAAGTTCTCAGTCCTCAAATCTGTGAAGGAAACATAGTAAAGTCTCAAATTTGTTTCCCGAGTGCCTGTAGAAAATTATAGTAATTACTTAAATACACATCTATCCACATTACATATTGCCATTAATAGTCACCACTTCATTAGAGTAAGTGGTTTGAGAAGTAGTAGAGAAAAGGTGAATGACAATCACTATTTCCATCTTGCTAAATCTTCTGCTCTGTTTCTGACCTTTTAACACCTGAGTATCTGATATGATCTTTCTCATTTAGTCTTTTCCAAATTATTCTGGGGTCATCCGAAAGCCCGGGAAGGTCTCGATGTGCTTCTCCAATACGCGTGAGAACGTCTTTGGCATAAAGATGTTCATCTATTTTTTCTCGGAGTAGAAAAGACTCCAGTAAAGTCTTCTTTTCTTTCAAGAACGTATACTGTGCCAGCTCTGCTCTTTTCTTGTTACATTCAGGACACTGAGAAGAAATGTGTTGCTTAGCTTCTGTCACCTGTATTGGTGCTGTTCTCAAGTTTTTGAAATAGATTCTGTTCACAAGTTCATCAGGGACAGTACAATTTAAGGCATCTCTCTCCGAAGTCTCTCTGTTCAATCTAAGCTGCGGCTTTTTCTGTCTGCTGCTCTTCTTCTTTGAGTTCACTCTATGATGGATCAAGTTTATCTTAATAGCGCAAAAAGACTGCAGGGCATGCAATTCTCTATCGGATACCTGAGAAATTTCCGTTTGAAGTCTAGTGTCTGGTTGGGACCATTCAGAGTTAGTTTCTTTGCCCTTGAGGTAATTGATCCACTTTATACTAAATTTCTTTTCATTATTTTCAAAGTCTGAAAGCTCAGAATGTTTGTCGTCTTGTTCTAAGCTTTCGATCTGCTCTTCACTCTCTGGCTTGTTTCCTGGGTCACAGGACCAGGACTGTGGGCCTCCAGAGGAGCTGAATGAACCGGAGCTCTGTACCTCATTAGTAAAGAAACTGAACGTCCCTGTTTCATCAGAAAGGTCTGCGAGAGTACTTCTCTCCGTTTGGGCCAATTCTCCTTGTTCTTGTTTTGCATCCTCGGACTTTGCCATCACCTTACGTCAGATTCAGCTCCTTATCTGCTTGGCCCGGATCAAAGCAGGCTTAGGAATTGGTGAGGGCTGAGCCCCGCGGGGATGGTTCTCGCGAGCAACAGCTCTGCAGAGCTCGTCTTCCGGGAGACGCCTTCCCGGGTGCCTTGGTAACGCGGGCCGGTCATGCGCAGTGAGTGGGGCCGTGTGGCGCCCCGCCCCTTCCTCTGCGCGCCCCTACGCCACCTACGCAGGCGCAGTTGGCGTCGGGCTGGCAATTTTCCGCTCCTTGTCCTTCTTTGATGTTTTTCTTTATAGAAGTTTCTGGGAGAGGGTTGCACACTGCGTTGCCTCATGGGACAGGTGGTATACGTGTGTCATGACAGTAAATATAGGTGGCCTGTAACAAATCCGAAAATGTGTGCCCCACCTAAACGCATCCACATAAAATAAACAATATGCGGGTTATGAAATAGGCAGAAACTTGCCTGCCACTCTTTACAGCCAGGACGCTCCCTATTTGCAGATCGTATCCTAAGAGAAAAGTCAAAATACTGAAATCATTCTGTAAGACTTCTTGCATAACGCTCTGTGCCCCAGCATTATGACCTTGAAGTTTTTTTTTTTTTGGGGGGGGGGACATTGCATTTCCTAAATCGGTTTCTCTGGTCGTTTGTCCGTGCAAGTCTTTTCCGATTGGCATATCGGCATCCAGGGGTCCTCAAACTTTTTCAACAGGGGGCCAGTGTTCACTGTCCCTCAGACTGTTGGAGGGCCGGACTGCGGGCCTGGGATAAGTCGACTGCTAAGCAGGACAGGCAGCTGCGGCAAAAACACCTGGCGGGCCGGATAAATGTCCTAGGCGGGCCATAGTTTGAGGAAGCCTGGATAGACCCTCCTCATTCTTCACATGTCTAATTGCTGCTCCTTCAAGTCTCATTTCCTCAGGAAGGGTTCATACCTCCCCCTGCCCCCAACATTTTATAGCCTTTCCCTTACACACGTAGTTTCTAATTTTGTGTTTGCATGAGTATTTGACAATGAAGGCAGAAATGATTGTCAGTGTTGCCAACTAATATATGCCCAGCAATCAGCCAACACGTAGTAGGGGTTTGGTAAATTTTTGTTTTTATGGAAACAAATAAATATTAACTTGCACAGGTCCAAAGAATTTTATGGAATAGGTACTAATAGCACAAGGAAAGCTAACCTTTTTTCTTCCTGAGCTTCCTGGATCCCCTAAATTTAGGCTGTTGCCCAGGATATATATTTTTACAACAGACGCATTTTTACAAACATAGTAGAGTTTTATTAATTATTCTTCACAATTATGAAATGTTAACTTCTGGAGATGGACTTTTTCTAGGTTTAATAGCCAAATATAGGTCTTAGTCAATATCTAGGATAACTTCATCAGAATGGACACCCTTCTCATTTCTCTTCTACCCTGCACGCACCTGTGTATTGGGGTGTATGTGGGGAGGGAGGGATTACTCAGGTCTAGCCAGATATATTTAACATTATTCCCCAAATGTTTACTTTGGTAAACTGTGAAAAGTCTGAAATACTCAAGAAACATCTCTGAAATGTAAGCCAGCTTCATTTTGAAGATAAGGAGATTCTACCTTCATTTATTCAATGCAAATTATATTTTATCATATAACGTAAGTCTTTAAAAATGTATAGCAGATAATTTTGAATAATTCCAAGTAATTTCCAATAGGACTCAAGATTTTCATTTTCAATTTGTATATTTAAACGGCCCCTCATTCTCGAATATTTACACATTCATATTTATACACAATTCAGTATAACATATTTCCCCCCTAACATTTAAAACGGGAGCTATGCATTAAAGTATTATTTTCTGATATGGTAAATATATGAGGTAATCTGCCTTTGGGGTTTTTCTTGTAAATAGTACTGTAAATTTCTCTTGGTTTTTAAAAAATAAATAGTTTATCCTAGAAGGAGGTAAATCGTGTAATTAAGAATTATTTTCTGATAACCAGAATGACCTGCTGGATGGTTTAACATTCTAGCAAGTGGGTTATCTAAGAAACTGAAATAGTCTTAATAGTACAATC